AACCGTGTCTCAGGGTGGAGAGGGGAAGCTATAGGGACTCTGGTCCCTGGGGAAGTCCTGGTACTTTCTGCACCTGAAAAAGGGAACGTGTGTCAGGCACCATGGAGCTTTTGGAGTCTGCAGAAGAGCAACACATTTCCATTGTGTGGGAAGAAGGCCTTAAAGGGGGTAAAACAAGGAGAAGCTGAGAGATGAAAACGTCAGGCGCAGTTTGCGGAGTGTTACCCATGGTTGGCCTGGTGTCTGGCAAGCAGCACGATTAGGGAGCAAGGTGGAGGGTTTGGAGAGCGGAGGCTTCTCTTGTAGGTTTCCTTTTTTAGTTTTGGCAAGCTCCAAAATCTTGGTCCATTCCTGCCTGGAATGTCTCATTTGGTGAATTTTTTCGATTCAGGCAAAGAGGATACTGAAGAACTACTAGTTGAATAAAACTATGACATTCACTGTTAGTGCATTCGCATTCCTTCTGTGCTCATTTCTGGATTATATTCCTGAAAAAATGCACTTACTGTCAAGAGTGAATTTTGAACCAGAATTAATGAGTCACTTAAAGTGCTTAATGCTACATTTCATAAGAGAAACTTGATTCTTAGCCTTGTGTTTATCCAGTCTCAGAAAAGAAATAGTTATGCGCGCTGGTGACCAGGGGTGGTTTTGATTGGATACAACTTGCCTTCCAAATACCCCTCCATCCAATGAGTTGCCTGTGAACAGTTAGTTCAGAGGCCAGAAGTTACTTGTAGAGTTTCTGGGAATAATTTTGAAATAACTGAAAACATTGGAGGAGATCATAAGCTTCTTACAGGCTGTTTGCTAACAGAAGCAGAGTGTGCTCTCCTCAAATATGTTATTGAGCTTGAGTAAGTTGTGTGGCTCGGAGCCTGTTTTCCTGCCTTAGTTTAATGTTTTAACTTCTCCGTGTGTGTGTGGGTTTTTTTTTTTTTTTTTGGAGAAGGCACCAAGTGTCTCTTGTAAGTAGTAAAGCACTCACTGCATCCATTCTGTCCTGCTAACCAGCTGTACTTCCCAGTGAATTGCAAGAAGACTGCAAATATGCAGATGCTGAAAAACAGATGCTGTGCTGGCCTGGAAAGTGCTGTATGAATACCTGCAAATAGAGCTTAACAAACAGAGCGTCTCCCTGCTCCACAGCGAGGAAGGAAAAGCTCCTTCTCGGTTACAGCCCCATGGATTTCTGGGGAATGGACCAGTTGCCCTGGGAGCAGAATTTAGCCTGTATAACCAAGTAATAAAATATCTTTTGGAGGAAGTATATTTATAAACAAAGAGCTCTGTGAGAAAAGAGCATTGCATCTTCAGGTTACGTTTGTGGCGCGCCTGCCTGAGAGTTGGCAGAGCTTCTTCCAATCGAGGGAGCCAAGGGGCAGTTCTGCTGCATCACAAGCTGCAATAGTATCTCCGAGGCTTTGAAAATGAACACCAGTGTCTCTGAAAACAGGATGCTCTTTGTGAGTTTTAATTGGAACCGGTCATGTCTGAATGCTGCAGTCTTGGAAATAACGTGACTAACCTAAGAAAGCTATTTGAAATGGAGCTACAAACAGTGTTCCCCAGATCCATGCAGGTGAAGAGCTCATGAGGATAAAGGCTCTTCATGAGATTCTGCTCTGAACTTGAACTGAATCAAACCATTTTTTTTGCACCTGTGTTGTTTGGAAGGCCTTTGGGTGCCTTATATATCTTCCTTTCCTTTACCTAGCTTGGCAAGAACTAAGTGCAAGAATATTACAAAGCAGGTTTTTGCACAGGGGGAACTGAGTCATGGAGGAGCCTGAGTGCCATGGATTTAAAATCAATGTTTGCTTTTACGCTGGGGTGTTGTGCAGAGGCAACTGACCTGGCTGAGAAGTTTCTTTCAGCTTTTGAGACTGGGCAGCGAAGCCCTGGCTGGAAGGTTTGCATGCACTTTTGTTGCTCTGTTTTAAGTACAAGACTCTATTTCCATAAATAATCCTAAATGCCAATGGATGCTGAAAGGGATTTTCTCTGGGAGTCGGTATTGGATGTCTGTCCTTTTTGTGGCACGCATGTTAAATCATTATCAGCTTATTTAAAATAAAAAGAGTTACCAGAGCAGCCTGGCCCACACAAATGGGATCCTGGAGGACTGAGGTGAGAAAATCCTGTTGATGGTGCAGCCTGTTCTCGTGGCGGGCATGGGCTGCCTCTTCCCAAAGTGGCCCTGAGGAGAGCCCGGCAGCTCCCGCGGCTCTGGCATGGTTTGGTTCTGGGTGCTCCAGCCTGGGCTGTGGACAGGTCCCTTCTGCCAAGTTGGGTCACTGGACAGGTCACTTGGAGCCTCCAGGGAGACACAACAAAAACTCACGGAACTGGTGCGTATTTTAAGTGGAGAATCTCATGGAGGAAGAAGGGATGTTTAATAAGGAAGTAGGTGTCATTTCCAGGCATGGAAATGTGGTGAGAGTCCCTTCTAATCAAGGGGCTGAATGCATCGTTTGGGCCCAGGTTTCCTAGACATGCTTGGTTGCATGTTTGCTTATTTATCTGATGATAAGAGCGATTTGTTTTGAAAGGTAAAGTCCAAAGAATGAAAATCTGAGTAAAATTCACATTTATTAGAAATGAAGCTTTTCAGCTTTGAACTTCTAATCTCATCAGCATCTCTTTAAATAATAAAAAAAAAAAAAGTAAAAGGGCAATAGAATTTGACTGATGCAGTGGATACAGCAGAATTGCTTCCAACAAACAGTAGGAGATTTGGGATGGAGACACCCAGTGCAGTATAAGAATTGCAGGACAAGGACTCATTACGGTTGCAGGGAAAAGTGGCCCCAGGGTAGTCTTTAACGAGGGTTATTGGTGCTTCTCTGCAATATAGATCTAAAGTGTTTGTGAGGTGACTGTATCTTGCTGGCCCTCCGTTATTTGCAGGTTTTGTCCCAGTTGAAATCGGAGTGAAGCAGTGCAAAATGCTGAAGTCTGTGCTGTGTGTGACAGCGAACGTGCTCTTGTCGTTACGCAGTGGTACGTTGAAATGCTCAGAATTCAAGTGACCGAGAGCATGGAGGTACTCAGAGCGGGAAAGCCAGTCTCTCGGTGTGTATTGCCTTGTTTGCTTTAGTTTTTCTTCAGAGCAGTGCTAGGAAGCTGATATCAACTGTTAGTTTGCTTTAGTTTTTCTTCAGACCAGTGCTAGGAAGCTGATATCAACTGTTAAACCTTTCAAGCTATCTTCCCCCCTGCCTTTTTTTTTTCCTCTTTTTTTCTTTTTTTTTTTTGGCCTCGGAGTGAATAAAAGAGCTTTGTGCAGTTCTTGAACCCACGCCTGAAACAGCTCTGAACAAAAATATAGTGTTCCTTTGAGCGTCGGGGAAATCATTACATCATGGGCAGAGTGGGCCAGGAGCCCTTGACGGGAGCCTTTGTGGAGCCGAGGGCCGCGCGGCCGCTGCGGCAGCGCCGGCCTCGCTCACGGTGGGACATGGCCGAGGGGGCGCCGAGACCTTGGGCGGGGCCTGCGGGGTCCCCCGGCTCTTGGGAACCGACCCGGCTCCGGCCTGCTCTGCTCACCCAGGCAGGTACCCGTCCGTGGCTTGTGGAGGGGACACAAGCTTTCTCGCCTCTGACTGTTTTTTCCCCGTTACTGGAATACCTCATCTGTGTGATGTTAGGAACTACGCAGTTATTACCGTTCACTGTTTGACCCACATGCACAAGAAGTGCTTGGTTCTGTGGGTAAGTAGGGTGGCCGCGCTGGGGAGCCGCAGCGGCGCTCGGCCTGGGCTTGGTGCTGGCTGCTCCTGTGGGACCGCACAGCTCGGAGCCCACGCGCGTGTCCTGTCACAGGGCCCTCTGCCGGGCACCAGCTGCTGCCTCCCACCCAACAAAAGCAGCTTTCTGCCCAAAAAGCAGCTGCCTGGGAGCCCGTGGCTTTGCCAAGGGAGCGTGAGCTATTGCACGATGCCGGGCCTGGGGCAGAGCTCCCGCTGAGCTGCCCTGCAGCGGGGGAGCCGCTTCAGTTCCCTAGGTTTGGGTCTGCCCCAATCCGAGCTGCGTGGATTCAGTTATCCCCTAATGACCTATCAGCTGGAAATCCTAGCAGAACCTCAGCTGTATCCAAGCAAATGTAGTTGCTGGGAGCTTTAGCCTGGCTGTGAGCGCATGGCAGCAATAGCTCACCTAAGCAAGAGCAGCCGTGCTCATTAGCGGTGCTTCGGGACCTGTTGTGTAGGTGACAGTCACCAGGTTTGGCTCATACTTCTACAGGAAATCACGACTTTCACGGCTAAAAAACAAATTGCTTCATTGTAATTTTAGGAGAATAGATGGTGGCTGTAATAACTTGCGTTGTCTGTGAATCAGCACAGGGAGGGAGCACAGTGGTCTGCACACGCCTGCCTTAAATGGAGCTGCGCTGACTGCAAAGGAGTGGGAATGAAAGGTACTTGCAGAATTATAACCTTTGAAAATATGTAATATAGCCCACATTGCATCTGATCGATTTGAAATCATACTCTATTTTCAGGTCTTAAATCAGTTGGAGTTCGTTTTCCCAAGCAGTGCTCATTTGTTATATCAGCTGCATAGTCCAGACTTAAATGTGAATATTTAAGATACACTGGAGAGGGTGGGAGTTTCACAGGGCTTACCCCACTTACTGAGACACGTTGTGTAACAACTCTGGGTATTTGTTTTCAATTTCTTTTTCAATCAGTGCTGCTTTTCTCAGAACTGGAAGAAGTCTGGTGTTGATTTGAGAGGAAGATTTGCAATTTGCTTTCTAAACAGCGATAGCAGAAAAAGAAAGTTAAAAAGCCTTCAATAGGGGTAAAACCCTTTAATAGTAATTTTTACGAATTATTTATAGTGCCCAGCAGTACCCTATTCAAAGCAAACTCCTAATAGCCAGGCCTCCTTATTCCACCAAAGCTTTTTCTTGCCCTCTCCTTCATGTCCCTGCCAAGAAACCAGCCTTGGTGGCTTCAAGTGATAGGCATGCTTTCTGTTCTGCTTTTTTGCAGGAGGCTGTGAGGGGTGCTGAAGATGTCCGATAGTTTGGATATTGAAGAGAAACCTCCAGCCCCGCCGTTGAGAATGAACAGCAACAATCGCGATTCCTCAGCACTAAACCACAGCTCAAAACCGCTCCCCATGGCCCCGGAGGAGAAGAACAAGAAAGCCAGGCTTCGCTCCATCTTCCCAGGAGGAGGGGATAAAAGTAACGTATCAGCAGTGCAAATGGGCTGCATCCTTGCTGGATTTTCTCTCGGTTGTTGGTTATGTGTCTACTTTCTGCCTCTGTTTTCTTTCTGTTTCAGTTGCTGAACATGGTAATTAAAGTCCTTCCCAAGCCTTCTGTTCCAATTACTCTACTGCCATACTTTAAAAGAAGATGTTTAGTCAGTTACTTTCTTGTGTTTGAGAAGCTAGTAGGACATGTGCACACTTTGTGTTCTGTGTAAACCATTTTTAAAATACCTTTCCAGTTAAGATGGAGAATCTTTTTTCTTTAGATTTTGCTTTGCATTTGTGGTGAAACCAGGAAGCTGCGATTCCATCCTTTGGGAATTGCAATTGAAGAACTAAGAAAGCAACATGCCTCATTTTATTTATTCAATTTTTTTTAATGCACTCGCCTCGCAGGAATAGAGGCAAGTTATTGCTTGTTACTTTTACAGTGTTGGTGGATATGGATACCTTGTTATAAAAGCTGTTGAGTGTGGCTACAGCAAAAGTCTTGGGTTTTTAAACATGCAGGAAACAGCATTTTCTTTGAAATGCCTTTGCAGAAAGGACTGTGGCTTAATTAGGGCATCTGAAGAATTAAGGGAACTGTAGTCCTTTTTTTTAATAGTATGGGACCAAATGAGATGCATGCTGAGTGCGAAAGGGACTGGCCAGTGTCATTCTGAAGGCACTCTTAATTGTCTTTGAAAAGTCATGGTGATGAGAGAAGGCTGCTGAGAACTGGAAGAGCATAAATATTGCTCCCATCTTCAAGAATGGTAAGAAGGAGAATCCAGGGAACTACAGGCTGCTCAGCCTCACCTCAGTGCATGGGAAGGAGATGGAGTAAATTTTCCTGGAAACTGTTTCCAAACACATGAAGGACAAGAAGGTGATTGAGAATAGTCAGCATGGATTTGTGAAGAGAAAATTGTGCTTAACCAGCCTGATGGCTTTCTACAGTGACCCCAGCTAGCTTGGAGGATAAGGGGAAAGCAGTGGATGTTGTTCTTGACTTCAGTAAGGTGTTTGACACCGTCTCCCATAGCATCTTCCTAGACCAACTGCTAAAGTATGGGCTAAATAAGTGGAGAGCAAGGCAGATTGAAAACTAGCTGAACTGGTGGGCTCAAAGGGTGGTGATCAGTAGCATGATGTCCAGCTGGAGGCCAGTCACTAGTGGTGCACCCCAGACATGGATGCTGGGTTCAGTACTGTTCAGCATCTTCATTAATGACTTAGATGTTGGGACAGAGTGTACCCCGAGCAGATTTGCACCTGATACAAAGAAAGAAGGAAAAAAAAAAAAAGAGGGGAGGGGGGGATAAATAAGATGGCTTTGCCACCTTGACTTCTGGAGAAATGGATCAAGAGGAACCACATGAAGTTCAGCGAAGGAAAATGTGAAGTCTTGCAGCTGGGGAGGAATAAGCCCATGCACCAGCTGGCTAGAAAGCAGCTTTTTGGGAAAAGACCTGGGGTTTCTGCTGGACAGCAAGTTTACCTTGAGCCAGCAATGTGCCCCCATGGCAAAGAAGGCCAACACTATCTGGGGCTGCATTAGGCAGAGCATTACCAGCAGGACAGAAGAGATCCCTCTCTTCTGCCCAGCCCTGGTGAGATACACCTGGAGTGTTGTGTCAGGTGCTGGCAGGAGGGACATTAAGCTATTGAAACAAGTCTTGGCCACCAAGATGATTAAGGGATTGGAGCATCTGTCATGCAAGCAGAACCTGAAAACACTGGAATTGTTCAGCCTGGAGAGAGAAGGCTCAGCAGAAATCTTTCTAATTTGTAAAGATATGATGATGATGGCAGGCTGTAAAGAAGACACAGATTCTTCTTGGGATATTCAATGACAGGACAAAAGGCAATGGACGTAAACTGAAAAACAAGAAATTCATTTGAAATATAAGAAAAAACTTTTTACTTCAGGGATGATTAAGTGCTGAAATAGGCTGCCCAGAGAGGCTGTTGAGCCTCTGTCCTTGGATACTGTCAAAATCTGACAGGTCATGGTCCTTGGCAACTTGCTGTAGCTGGTGCTGCTTTGAGCAGGAAGATTGGACTATCTCCAAATGTTCTGCTCCTCACACCAACTGATTCGGTGGCAGTTAGCACAAGAATCTGTGTTGTCTTACTGGAGCTGTAACTCATGTCTGCAAATGAAGGCAGAGGTGAATCTTGCATTAAGGCAGAGCAAAAATAGGGTATATTTGTGTGTGATGACTGTGCCAGAGGAATTTTTCTGTTAGGACTGGAAGAAAACAAGTGTTCTTGTACTTGTGCCAAAAGTATAGCACTGAATTACTGAAAGGTAAAAAGAAATGACTTTCCTTGGAGTCTTGCAAAATAATCATAGCTATTCTTCCTGCTCTGGAGGAGCTGTTATTTGGAAAACCTTACTAAGCCTGGTGACGCATGTTAGAAAAGAGCAGAGATGCTTGGGGTGACGCTGGGTTGACTGGGGAGCAGATGAGGAAACGCTGCCTGTGGTGGTGAGCATGCAGGCCCCCGGGGGTAATTGCTGGATTTCAGGAAGGATGTGAACCAAGTGATGTTTGGACTGAGGAGTGAGAAGAGCAGCATGCAAGTAGGTTCTGGGGCTGTCTCTGTGAGCACAGGTACTGCCCTGGAAAGCTTTTTGCCTGTACTGCCTGATGCTTTTTCCCCCTAGAGTCACATCCCTGCTACTGTGGTCCAAGGGCTTTTCCACCCGGCCTCTTGTCTCTGAGGAAGGGACCATGGGCTTGGCTTGGGCTTGTGAGGAAGCAGCAATGCAGCAGGAAGGATGCAGGATTAAAATGTTTTAAATATTTAAAACAAGTGATCTTGTAGGGAGAAGCAAGCTAGAGAAGCAGGACTGGGAGAGAGGAGGAGCAGAAGGCACTAGGATGTAGGAAACAAGGGAAACAATGGAAATAAACTAAGGAGAGATCAGTGGGAATAGGGGAAATGAAACTGTAGGACCTAGGAAAATCCTGATCCCCATCCTCTCTGGTAATGAAGGCAGTCTCTACCCTGCCACTGCCTTCTGTGTGCATCAGTCCCCTCAAAGTCCCCATCGTGGCCCATGCCTCCGAGCTCCAGCTCACCCTGTGCATCTCTTGTAGGGCATGTGATGATGTTAGAGGGCATTTGGCACTCAGAACTGCTCCCCAGCAGTGGGAGTCTCAGTTTATATATACTTGTTTATATATACACATATGTATAGGCTCAGTTTCTAATATATCTGGTGCTCTTAGCCGTGCTGGACTGGCCCATCCGGCAGGCAGCTCTCATTGTTGGCTCTGTGTTCCTTCTGGGAGCCAAGTTAATTTTCAATTGGTTCTTTCTAAAGGCCACAATTAAAACCCCTCCTAGTTTGTTTAATTCCTAGAGTGACTTGGGTCACCTGAATGACTTGGTATTACCTGTCACTAGGGAACATTTCTGAAAGAGGTGGTGCTGTGTGAAACACGTGCAAAAATGGGGAGATTCAGAAATATCCTTCTTGGAAAGGATTTGTGTCATTAAAGATAGATGCAATTTAACTATCAGTCAGAGCAGGCTTAGCAAACACAGAAGTATCATGATTTTAAATGTGACTGTGAGGGAAAATAAGCTAAAATTTATAGCTTAATTTTGCTGAGTGAAATAATAAATGGAGGAAATTCAACTTGGCTGGCTGAGCCCCTTGAGGTGGATTCATCTCGTGGCTGGCTTGTAGGTCAGGGTATCAGCTGGCTTGTGCATGCCTCAGAGCCTCCGCGACACGCCGCAGGGAGGCCTGCTTATCAAAACAAAAGATGATTAATATGGCTGCTCTCATCTAGTGCAATGCTGTGCGGCATCAGAGATTTATTTTAGTAGTCCGGTGCTGGAGCCAGTAAACAGATGGTAAGAAAACACCATGGCAGGGTGTTTCTGCTCAAAACTGTAGCAACTTGATTCTTTCACGTATGTAGGGTTCCTCCATGCATCTGTAGTCCAAACAAGACACTTCAGGCATTAGTGTCCTGATCTTTTCCTTCAGACCTGCCCTCCTCTCATTGCTTGATACAGCAGCCAAGACAGAGGTCCTGAAATGCTCGTTTGGTGTCCCTTAGGAAATCTCTGCAAAGGAGGAGCTGGAGCAGCTCTCCCACAGTCCACGCTGTGGCTGTAAAACTGCCCGTCCTTTCCCTGAGGTGGTGATGGTGATGGTAGCCTCAGTGGAGCTCACAGCATTAACATCTCTTTAAAGAACAGGACTGTTACCTCAGGAGATTTGGGAGGAGGAAGAAAGGACTTGAATTCTTCCAGTTGTTCGGATACAGCTTTGTTCTTTCTTTGAACCTCCCGAAATTACTGTGTTTTAAAATGAATTAGTGTCATGTGTGAACTGGTGGCTCCACGGAGGTACTGTAGAACATTCAGCCTAAAGAAATGGGAGGGGAAGAGATGCCTGTGGGTCAGACCCCTTTCAGCTAAAAAGTTACATCCGTATGAAGGTTATTGGGTTAAAAATATCACACCCAGTGAAGTTGCTTTACATTTGGCGATAGATAGGAGCAGAGTGTGACCATTAGTCATCTGGTGGCTTCCTGTATTTAATACCAAGAAAAGAGGGATGGTGAAAAGCCTGAGGGCTTAAAGACTATGGAGGAGAAGGAAAGAACTGGATGCTGGGGTAGGGCAGGAGGGAGAGAGTGGGAAGGAGGGCAGGAGGAAGAGCAGATGAGTGCCTGCAGGGGATGTGAGGGGACAGAGGAATAAGTGGGATGTGATGAGTGGAGGACAGTAAGCTGGAGGCCATAAGCAGGAGGTCAAACCATTCCTTCTCCAGGGGAAAAAAAAATTGCCACTTAGCTGAGTCATGCTCGCCTGCCAAAGAACTGCTGTCCTGGCGTCATGAGAGGAACGGGGATGGCACAGTCGAGAAGAGCAAACACTTCCCGTGTTCTCTGTCCGCCCGTGGTAGCAGTGCTGGGGTGGTGTGGGTGGCCCTTTGCGGCCAGCTCGCAGGGCAGGGACTGAAGTGCCTGGGCAGCTGGAACCTTTTATAAAACATCACATAGAAATGCCCTGTATAAAACCATTAAATCCAGCCGTTCATTGCTTCGGAGCAGTCAGGCCTTCACATTACTTTGAGAGTTTACGTAAAACAGAAGTGATTTGGGTTGCAGGGCGTAGACAGAAACGTCAGTGTTTAGATGGAGGGATGTTACAAGGAGGTGTTTAATTTCCTGTTTGATTTACATTTTATCAGGTTGTTTTGGGATGGAGGGTTTACATACACAGGCTCATGGCAGAGATTTATGAAGCAGAAGAGCCAAATCTTGGGGGAATTGAGTGAGAATACTTGTCTTGCGGCAGGGACGGCCTGGAAAGGACAAATGCCATTTTTGATGGAATGTTTTGTGTAACACCTTGTTTCGCTTATAGATTTAACTGTTGTTTTCAACTGCATTCGATGACCCTTTAAATCTAACTTTCACTGTACTCGCTCACAAATGACAAGGTAGAGGAGCCAATTTTGTTACCTACAATAAAGTTGAATCTGCGGAATGGAGGCAACGTATTGTTGCTGGCAACATCCATCCTATGAATTAAAGCAACAGCACCTTAGGGGAAAAAAACATGCAATCGTATTGAACACATTGCTACTGTCTCTATCAAATGCCCCATGAAAATAATTCATCAGTTGACACACGAAGGGTTTTGGAGTATGGGCAGAAGGTGACAATTATTTACTGAGGATGCATGCGACGGCGCAGAGGAGGGATGAGAGCTGTCCAAGATGCTCTGGATTTTAATTACGAAGTGGAGAGCATCTTGCAACTGTGGGAGGCTATAAGATAGAAGAAAAATGTGGGGAGACACTTTCCTCCACTGCAGTGACTTGCATTGCTTGCATTGACTTGCCTCCTCTGTTTCCTCTGTGTGAAAAGAGGCCCCAGCTGTGAGGGATGTGGGTATATATAGTAAGCTCTGCCTTTACATGAGACTTTTAGGTAAACTCATAAAGTTGGCAAGCATAACACTAAAACACCTAATGAAACTGTGTATTATTAATCAAGTCCATGAGCATAGTGCAGTATATAAGAAGGCTGGTGTGCCAGAAAAATGGATTTTGCTATGCTCCTGCTGGAAAATGGATTTCACTATGTATGCTCCACCTCACCTGGTAGTGGTAGGAGAGGGAAGTTTGCGTGTGAAATAAAACACACACTAAGTTGTCTCCATCGAGTCATTTTTAATGCGTGTGGATGGCAGGCAGTAATGCTGCAGAAGGCAAAGGCAGAAACTGAGCTATTGCTCCTTACTCTCCCACTGATGTGTAGCTATAATGTGTACTCTTTTTCCTATTAATATTGATAAATGGCAATGCACTCCTACCTAGAGATCTGATGTGACAGACATGGTACGAACTTCTCATATGTCCTTGGAGCTCCCGCAACTGTTAGTGTGAAGCTGTGTCACATCAGATTCACCAACCCAGCCTGCTCAGGACCACGATGTGCAAATCAGATTCACATTATACCAGTAGGAAAGAGAACAGGGGAGAAGATGGGATCCTGAGAAGCAGAGTGCTTGGTTTAAAGACTGTTGTGATTTTGTGCTTTCAACACATTTTGTGTACCTTATTTCCTGAATTTGTCCTATCAACTTTTGCACCCTGCAGATGGGCACTTGTATATTCGTTCTGTTCCTTTCATTAGCTTGTTGTTCTTCCACTGTAATGGCAAGCATGCTTGGTGGGATGGCAGATCCCTGTCTCAGCAGCTACAGATATGCTACTTGCATAAAAGAAAACCCTACAAATAGCTTTGCGCAGTATTTTTCAACCGCATGATAGTTGTTTCTGGAGTATACTGCTTCTCCAGGGAAGCTGAATCCTTGAGGTACCTGCCGATAGGATGGATGGATGGATGTATATGTGTTACCTGCTACGTTTATCTGTGTTTGGGAGCCGTCCACAACTGTCATTATCATCACTGTGTTTCAGTAAAGTCTCAGAACCTAGATTCCTGGAGTGCCAGGGCGAAGGCAGCGGCTCTGCCTTGCTTCCATTCGTTCTTTGCCAGGGCAATAAAAGTGGACTGCAGTGAGTCAATGGTCAAGAGCATGAGAGATGGGTGACCACAGAGTTGTTTCAAAAGCTGTTAGAGGAGAAACTTGACTGGCTTTCAAGTCTTTCTCCTTCAATAAGATATTCCAAACTCTGTCAATTAAATTGGAGTGATTTAAAAACAAGAGACTAATAAAGCCCCTTTTTATGGATTTCTATCTCTTAAGCCCACAGTTAACTAAGTGAAGCTTTTCCAATGGTAATGGTATCTATGGGATTTTGTTGCTGTGCAGATTCTCTGTTTCTTAATAAAGATGGAGCTGCTGGTTCAGTCTTTTGCCCAGCGAGGAGACAGGAATAGGATCTGTGTCCTCTCCCCAGCTGCCTCTTCCACAGGGCTTGGAGGAACGTCATTATCTGTAAAACTGCTTCCTCCAACGTGGTTGAGTTTGACAGCAGGTTCAAAATGTGTCTGGAGAAGAGAAGGGCATGTGAACAGGCTCACTCCTGCATGTGCTGGGTGCAAAGTCAAACAGGACTTAGTAGCCGGATGTGAAAACTTGATTAAAAAAAAAAAAGGAGTGAATAGGAGAGATGGTACTAGTTAGAGATGGCCTATGAAGGCCTTTTGATGAAAGTAGGTCCCTGATTTTGGCAGCTGTGATATTGATTGGAAGAAATCAAAATCAAAATGCACCTTCCAGACCTGCTCAGAATGGGGATGATGATTTCATTTTGTAGTAACTTGAGTCTATTTGTGAAGTAAAATTCACTTTGATTGACTTTCTCTTTTTAAAGTACTATTTTGACCACACATGATTGTGAAAAGTTTTGTGTGAAAAGCTGTGCAAAAAATAAGTGCGTGTTAACGTTTTGCCTCTAGCCAACAAGAAGAAAGAGAAAGAGCGTCCTGAGATCTCTCTTCCTTCAGACTTTGAACATACGATTCATGTGGGGTTTGATGCTGTCACTGGAGAATTCACAGTAAGTAACCCCTGTATTGCATGCTTTACTAAAACTTTTATTTTGCGATGGTAAGAAAAGCCTTCTGTTGCCAGAAACTTCAGATGACAGCAGCCAGGCTGTGAAGAAAGAGTTTTTTATTTGTGGGGCTTGCAATTTGGCGTGCATCACTTCTGATTCAGGCTCCTTTTTTTTTCTCCAAGGATTATCAGCAGAGTATCTGTGGAAAATGAGAACTAGGGAGAACGTAGGTGTTTGCTTTTATCAGTCCTCTAGGCTGCTGTAGGTTTTGGTTATTTGCTGTCCTTAGGAAGGCATAAAAATCCTCACACGTGCACAGTATATGATTTTCTCTAGACAATCACCCCTAAAATGCAAAGTCCAGCTGCTCTGCAGACAGCTCTTGGAGATGGCTCAGAAAGCTGCAGTGTTGTGGAAGGCCATTTATTTTAATTAGCTTCCAAAATATTTCCATAGGTTAGGTGATCCCACGTGTTTCTAGCCCATATGCAGTAGTAAAGGAGCAGGCAATCCCAAATTGTGGAAAATGAGTCTGATGGAAGCTCCTTGGAGTTTGCAGGGGACTTCAAAGCCTTTTCTGGATCAGTGAAGCACAGGTGACAGGCAGCTGGCCTTCAGTTCAGCTGGGAAGAGAGAGGGAACCCGAGTGGCTCCCCGAGCTGCCAGTACCCTGTGAGCTAAGTGGTCAGACTGTGTTACCATCGTACGTCCAACTGTCTTGTGTGCTACCGTCGACCGGCTGCATAAACCCAACAGCCAGGATGGGACAAATCAGCTGCCTGGGCAGAGGAGGAGCAGTTGCCAGAATTTGAGCCCCACGTGTGATTTCTTCCTCACTTTTCCTTAGAGTACTACTTTTTTCCTCTCAAAAAGTTTCAGAAACCTGTAAAACTTAGCATAGGAGTAACAGTAGGATTCAGCATAATACAAGCAAAAAAAAAAAAGAAAAATCACTTGTTTGATGGTAGTGTGTCTTCAAAGAAGAACTGAAATTGAGACATCTTTAGTCATTTAGGAGAGTTGTACTTGGAGTGTATAGATTAGTTTATTTGTTTTTAAAAAATAGACAGCACTTACAAAATCTACCTTTAAAACATATTCAGTGCTGATCTCCAAGGCTTAATTAAATAGTCATTTAAAATGTCCAGATGTGCTCATCTCTCTTCAGAAAATATTCATAAATCTGCTACTTCTGAGTTTTCCAATTTTTTTCTGTACTGTCCTGGTTTTTCTCCTTTTTCCTCTGTCTCTCCCTGTAGCTGCTTCATTGTGCAATTTAATTTTCATTGCTGTTCTTCATATCTTACTACCACAATTCTGTTTTTTTTTTTTTTTTTTAAGTTACCCTTTTGTATTTGCATCCCTTACTTCTTTCCATCCTACTACATTTCACTGCTCTCCCCACTGCACGCTCATTTACTGTTCATCCTTTTCTGTCTTCTTTCTGCTTTTCACCCTTCTGCCTCGATCTCTGCCCTCACTTCAGACCCTTCCAGCTCGCACAAACGAGATGGGGCACAAGCAGATGTTTGGCCCATGGGTTGGTGACGATGGGCCCAATTAATTTTGTGTCCCTGCTAGTTGGAGCAGAAAGGAGGGAAGCAGCAGTTAATACATTTCAGTTCTAAATACTTTCTACTGGTTCTTCTAAGATTGCTGTTAATGTAACTTTTATAAGCTACCAGGTCAAAACAGTTAAGAATCAAAAAAGCCTGATGCTATTATGTTAGGTGCTGCATGTGCAGGGCCCAGCCTTTTGCAGAATGCAAGACTTGTTCTTGGCTGAATTTATGTAGCTTAACTCCTGTAGCAGCAATTGCTTTTTAATACATTTGTCCCTTTCACAGTGAAAATTAGCTGGGTAGTCGTTGCTACAGTGGTGCTTATTGCTAAAACTGGAAGGGCAGCACTGCAGACTGAACAGCTTCAAACAGCCCCAGGGCCGGGTGGCCCCGTGCGGGTTGGTAGGACAGGGCTTGACTCGCAGGCCTTAGTGGAGCAAAATGTCAGCCAGACCAATGGAGTTTTGCCATCAGCCCCCAGATAATCCCCAGCTACAAGGACTGTGTTACGTTCAGCACCTCTGATTTGTCCCAACCTGGATACAACTCCTGTGTCAGCCAGGTTGTCACGTGGTAAGTACCTTTTGCTAAAGGGACTGCCACTAGCCACCATACAAAAATATTCCCACTGTCTAGTGATCACACTGTCTGTCTCCTTTAAAAAGTTTGGAAGTGCCATGGGAATGTGCAGTAAATGTGCAAATAGCTATTTTTTTTTCCAAATAGTTGCCAATATCATCTGCTTTACTGCATTGCAATGCACTGAACAGTTTTCTGATGCCTAACGTTCATCCTCTTGGCTGTATGACCTGATTGCTATTAGTTGCATCTCAGAAACAAAGTTGGGAAAACCTGCATGGGCTTCTGATACTTGGCTCTTAGGCTTGAGCACCAAAGCGTGTTGTTAATCATGAACATATGTTATATCTCCATTTCACTGTGCTTGGAGCAACCACCCTTGCTAAAAAGTAGGGTTTAAAGTGCAAAATAAAATTGTTAGGAAACTATTGGTGGGAGCATGCTTTTAGAGCTTAGCATTGATTTATTTTGAAGAAACAGTTGCATTTTCTGAATGGAGGAAAAGGTGTGGTTTGCACTGGATTTTGAAGCGCATGCATTTTTGAAATAGCTACCTGATCCCCGATTGAGGAAAAAAAAACTGGTCACCTGCCAATCTGTTATAGTTTACACGTTCTGACAATAGCAAGTGGGAGAAAGTTGTGGGTATTATAAATCCAGAGAAGCTGCACATTGTTAATCTAAGCAAGCATTTTAGAGCTGTCCTGGTTTTCAGACTGGCACATGTCGGTTATTTGGATTATAGCAGTGCATGAACTCCTGGTGTGAAAGCTGAGCTTAACAGCTACTTTCTCCATTGCATTTTGTAAACTCATGCACTGGCCAGTTGTCATCTGGGGACTTGAGAACCACTGGACAAATTTGTGTAGGATCATTCAAAACTGCTAGCTTGGCTTCAAAAACTAGCTGAAACAGCTGAAGCCCAGTATGTCCTTTTATTATATATATTTTTTTTAATTAAAAAGAGGAATCGCAAGTAATTTTTCCAATTGCTTGCCGTTAATCCTCATTAATGTATTTTTTTTGAGGGAGAGAAAAACTGTTTTAAAAAAAGGAGGGGGAAATGATGCTTCCAAACTTTGGAACAGTTGTGATTTTTCTGTTTTTCCTAAGCCTGCCTCCCTGTAACCTGTCCAACACCTGATCTGTTTGATGTACCTACCTCATAACTCCCATTTTAGATGGGATTTTCCCCATTTTAATCCATTGGTTTCACCTCCTACCACCTTCTAAGTTGTCCCACATTCTGTTTTAACTTTCTTTTCTTTCTTTATTTACGTCCATTACAGCCAGATCTCTATGGCTCACAGATGTGCACAGGGAAGCTTCCAGAGGTGCGTCACAGGCCCAAAAGAAGCTTGCATCAAAGTGCTTCTTTGAGATGTCATAGCACTGCAGCAGCAGGTTGATGTGTGTGC